ATTAGGACAGTCAAAAGACAAAATTTAAATTCAGGGGCAGATGGTATTTACTTGATTGGCCAAAATTTAAAAATAAAACAACCTTCATTTCTATAATACTTCAAAGAAATTTAATGTATGGTTTTTGAGAAATACTTTCAAAGATACCTACCACTGCCAGCATTACAGTCTGATACTTTTAATAAGAGTTACCCTACACTGTTCATATACCATCTTCTGGCATTACATCTGATACTGTTAATCATAATTATTATAATGGTCAAGGAAGTTTAGTTACTAGTTACTATCAATTCACTTATATATAAGCCAAGTGTGCTCACACTTTCCCAGTTTTTTGAAACTCTGATGTGTTGATTTTGGTCTTTCCTCAACATAAAATTTCTATGACACTTAACAAACCACAGATTGATGACACTTTGAGAGCAAAGCAGAAGTGGACAGTCCCCTCCAGTGCTGCCACCACTGAACGGACTGCTCTGTCATGCTGCCTGGCTGAACACTGACAAGGACACCTACCTACATGAGTTTAAAAATTGATCTGCACAATTTAAAAAAGAAATTTAAAAAATTATATACAACAAATTGGTTTTTAAAAATATAAAAATAACATCTGTCACTTCTGTCATGCTGACAACTTGACATATATATGCATGCAGAAAAAGTTCCAACTCGGTCATCTGAACGGCTGTGCTCTAATATGATGAACAAACTGCCACTATGTTCACACTGATGGAAGGTGTATTCAAAATATTTCATATACTAAATACTACAATAGTCTCTGCACGTATAAATGCTGGTTATAATAGTTTCTGCTTTGATTAAAAGTGTCTTAAGCTAACATTAAGTGCACTAAAATCCATAACAGTTCAGAAATCTATGACCTTACAATAAAGAAATCCAAAATGTACAACTATAAAACAAGAAACAATTACTGCCATGCAAGACTTAAACTGAAAACTGCAAGGAAATGCAATTTAAAACAGCAAGCTCAAATATATTTAACACTCAAAGGGTCAGCAGCGAGTTCTGCCAACAATAGACTTAAAAAAGAAAATACATTATCTTTGCTTGTATAAATCATATCTTCAAATCTGAGAGCAAGCCGTCTGTCCTCTAGTTTAAGAGATTAGCTCTTTTACAGTTGTTTTAATGAAATCTTTCCTCTCAGTTAAATCGTAAGCGGGATAGTTTTCATATACCTCTTTGCAAGTCTGCTTCATTGTGACTTCTTCCAAGATAGCATCAGCCAGTAATTTCTTCACTGTTTCCTTTAATTCTTCATCTGTAGGTGTTTTTTTTTCAATTTTTTAATTAATGGTTCATCATCAGAACTATCTTCAGATTCAGATTCTTTTTTGGAACTGTTTGATTCTTCTTGGTGGTGCTGCTATCTGCCTTCTTGACATTAGCACGTTAGCACTTTTTACAGACTTGTTACCTTCAGCAGCAGCTTTTTGTTTTGCTGTTTCTTTTATAGCTGTCTTTTTTGGTGATTGTTCCTCTTCACTTTCTTTCTCTTCATCTTCTGAAGATTCTTCCTTATTTTTCTTCTTATTTCAGGACATTTGGTTTGCTTTGACTTCCTTGTTGTTTCGTTCCCTTTTACTACCTTTGCTTGAAGATTTTTTGGATTTTGGCAATGGTTTGCCAGAAGGCTTTGGATGCATTAAGAAATTCAAGATCCTCTTCACTAGTTTGCTGTTCACGCCTGATCTCTCTACATCAAGAACCTCACAAATGCTCTTTAACATGGCATTTCTAAACTTTTTCAGCATTTCTTCCTTCTTTTTATACTGGGTACTGTCGTTTTCAAATGGAAAGCCACTGAACTGACCCACATTCTTCTTTAATGAGGACACTGTGCCTGATCTGTTGAAAAGCAGTTTGTGTAGATTTCTAAGTTCATCTGTGTTTTCTTACTCAGAAAGAAAAGTATCCTTTCAATTTCACAGTTTCTGACCCTTCCCTTGAGCAATTGTAAATGGCTCTCTTTGTAAGGAAGATACTTGCATTGTCAATCTTTCTACTTTCTTCTTTTCTCTCTTGCCTGCCACAATGAGACTCTTTTCTTTCTCTTCCTCCCCCCCCCCCCCCCGCCACTTCTCCCTGTGGTCCCTGGGGCCTGGCATTTAGGTAAGCCGGCTGCTGTGCTGGGTGATCCTCTGCCTCCACAACAGGGGCCTCAGCCTACATGCTGCTGGGGACCGTGGGTGCACACCAGGAGGCCGTGCTTGGCTCCTCAGAATCTTTAAATTTTGTTTTTAAAGCAACTACAGATATCCCTGTTTAAAACATGGTTAATTTGTTGGCATATGTTAAATATATATATATGATTTTAACGAAGAAAGTAGTATCTAGTCATCACAGAACCTTAGCAGGGAGCCGTGGTAACTAGGTTGTTGTTCATTTATACTTGAGAAAACTAGAGCTACTGGTGCTCGAGAGCCACGGGCAGAGGACTACAAAGAATTAAAGCACAATCCAGGATGGATTCAGTCTCAGACTAGGGCCTCTGGAACCAGGTTCAATAGAAGAGAAGCATTCCTTTATACTTTCCTGGGAACACAGACTGATTTGATGCAGAGCCACAAAATTAATTTTGAGTACAAACAACGGTGATGTTGTTGGTTGTTTTGTTTATTACTCTTCATACTCTTTTGGATTTTTTGCTCTTTTTACTCTTTATTCTTGGGTCTTTTGGGGGAACCGCCACCCAGCTCCAAAAGAAATCACACACAGAGGCTTATTATTAATTATAAATGCCCAGCCTTAGCTTGGCTTGTTTCTTGCCAGCTTTTCTTAAATTAACCTGTCTACCTTTGGCCTGTGGATGTTTATCTTTTTCCTACTGCTGTAGTCTTACTTTCATACTTACTTTAATGATTTTTGATCCGCGTGTCCCGGGAGATCGCCTTGCGGCGGCGGGGGCGGGTTGGTCGCCGGTCCTGCCATGCAGGCAAGTGTGAGCAGGCGGAGGGTAAAAGGAAGGCACATGGGCAAACACATCGTACAGAATAGGTTTGGATATTTATTACTTAAAGGAGAGAGAGTGTGGGAGAAGGAGGAGAAGAGGAAGGAGAGGAGAGAGACAGAAAGGAGGGAAGTGGGGAGTAAGACCGACACTTTACCCCATACACGCATACCCCAAGAGGGGGACAGTGAGAGATCTAAGATGGCAACAGCAGGGAGGGGTTGCCGGGAGTGGGGGTGGCTTGCCCCTTAAAGAGACAAAAACCATAACATTCCCAGTTCTTTATTATAATAAAAGCAGGAGATTAGACACCACAGTTTGACGGAATTGGAGCAGCGAATTCTCAAGACTGCTTCCGGCTTATTTGTGGGCATCATCTTTGGGGGGGAATGAACCCTGAGAAGGCTGGGTGTTGGCCACATCCTGGCATAGCTGGTCTCTTTGCTCCCAATAGGTGTCGGTGGCATGGAAATGTTTGGTGTCTCTAATCCTGTTTAAGGTATTGGCAGAACAAAGAACAAAGTTAAATTAAGGATTTTTTTTTTTTTTTGAGCAGGGAATTGAGGGGGATGTATCTGATCTGTTTAAGGTGGATTTTTTAATTCGGCTCCCTGGAACTCACAAGAACTCCTTGGGTTTGTGAAAACAGGAGTTTTAGACACATAATGGCTGTGGCATATTTTTGTACAATGAAAAGTATTTTTTTAAGACTATGGAAGGCAGCATAAGAGAGAAATTTGATTTGAAATTTATTTGGTGAGGTAACCTGGCAAAACCTCTCAGAGATCTTTGAGAAGGATAGGATTTCACTTGAGTTACTGATTAAAAAATGACAGAGAACTTACTTGGTTGGCATCCAGAGCTATTCTGTTTTGAGTCCTCCATGGTCGTTGAAGGTTGCACTTGACCTTTGATGTTTAGCGCCAGGCCTGCCAGGCTCCAGAAGATCCTGTGGGCTAAGAAATCTGTAGGAAGACAGGCCTACCTTGACCTGAGTAGCTAGGCTGTCGATTCCAGCGATTCTGTCCATGTCTGGAGGTCTTTAGTTTAAGTGAAAGGCAGTTTTGCCCAATGGTCAGAGCTCGGCAGTCGAAGTCAACTGCAGAAGGATGTTGTTCTGTGCTTGTTTGTCTTCTGTTTTCTTTGGAGGGACAGAGTGCTGCTGCTGGGAGTCAACCTGTCTCTTTTGGTTATGAAAAGTCTTTTTTTAATAATTAAATATTTAAATATCACATTCCCCAGATCGCTGATCATTTGAGGGCTGTTAATCATATATAACTACAGTATAAAATCTGTCTGGAATGTTGGGTCTGAGCTTGACTGTACTGGCTCTTAACAGTACACTTTTTACACTTGTAAAAAGGCAGAAGGAAGAAAAAAACTGCTTGTAATATAAAGTTAATGACAGAACTGACAATGGTGGAGAACAGCTTAATATATTTTAAGAGACTTAAAGGTACATACCGGTTTAAAACATGAGATTTATGATTTAGTGAACAATTATTATACACAGAAAGAATGAGCAGGAATTGGGCAATGTGGATGCTTTTGATGGGCCCTATCAAAGGTATGCCATTGCATAAAACACATGTAACAGAGTTAATAAGAGGAATCTAGTGAAAACCGGTGGACAAAGCAGTGTATACATAAGTAAAAGTGGGAGAGCTTAGTCACCTGACCTGGATCTCAGGCAAGATGGCGGTAAGGTCACCCATGTAATAAAGTTAACACTGGGGAACCGGGCAGGTAATACCTCAGTAAAGATGGCGGAATTTGGTCACCTGACCTGGCCCTCAGTCAAGATGGCAATAAAGTTACCTGACCCCAGTCAAAATGGTGGCAGCCACATGTTGTATGAAAAAAGTCACAATTTTTGAGCTGTAAGGATTTTAAGCTTAATGAGAGGGACCTAAAGGTGTGATCTGCCCTGTTGCTGAGCTGCCATGCCATACCATAAGCCGCAGAGGGGGGCAAAAGGCTGGAACCGAAAAAAAAAAAAAACTGCACCATGCTACAGCTGGAATTGAAAAGCTAGCTGGAATTTTTAAAAGCCAGGGAGCCACCATGGGTGGTTGCTATCCAGAGCCAGAATTGTGAAAACCCGCGAAACAGCGGCACCCAAGGCCTATATCGGAACATCTTCCAGAGAAATATAGGTGGGATGCAAATTGGCAGGGCGGTTACGATGAGAGGAGAGAAAAAGAGGAAAGAGAAGAAATGGAAAGAAAAGATAAAGAAACTGGAGGACCCCGGGTCCCCAGTCAAATGCACTGTATGGGGAGTGTGCAGTGCTAATGCGCAGGCGGACACTGACCCCTGGGATCAGTCCAAACACGATTCCAGTAAAAAAAGGCAACCATAGCCAAACAGGGGAGACTCACCAATTGAAGCCTGATTGAAGCCGGGAAGCTGGTGGTGGGAATGGAAAAAGAACCCGGTTCAGGATCCTGACCCTGGAATGAATTTTGGGCAGGAGTGCATAGGCTTAGTAAGTGCATGACTTACTGCCTGGTTGGCTGGGGGCTAGGGAGCTGGGGGGCTGGGTAACTGTCTGCTAGCATCTTCCTCTCCTCCTTTTCTTGCTCCTTCTCCTTCCTCTTCCCTGATTTTTCCTTCTATTTATTCTCCCTGCCTGCCAGCCCCACCTATCCTTACTCCTGCCTCGCTCTCAAGTGTTTTAGGCAGGCAGAGTAACACAGCTTCGCAGGGTTAACAAATGTAACATAAAAGAATGCAGCACATCTTTGCATCATTAAACAAATGCTCCACATCATAAACAACTGTTACACATCTTATGTTGCACATAATTTTCCATAATATAATAATTTAACTCCTTTTTATCTTACAGAACCTATAAATTCCAGAAATCCTCCTACATCCATAAACATACATAGGAGAAGAGGTAAGAGAAAATGAGGACTCTTTAAGATAGTTGAACTGTGTGTTCAACAAGAGGTTCACTCTTCTTGGCCCTATTCTTCAAAGTACAATACAAGTTTGGTTTTGATTTTAGGTAATTCCTGTTTTAACTTCTAAGTTGATCAGGCAGGCTAACTGCTGTATTAGGTGAATCCAAAGAAGTTAGTGATTTCATTTATATATTAAAAGTCTTTCTAATATTTAGTAACAGTTCAATTTTTAGTACATATTTTTAGGTGGAAGAGTTGCCTGGCCCTGTTCCCAGTAATCATCAGAGAAATAGAAGAGCCACCATCTTTATTTAACACTCCCATAATTACTCCAAGAGAAAGGCATTGCTCTCAAAACATGTTGACCAAGATACAAACATCACAGGAGACCCCATAAGGAACAAGTAGAAGAAAAGTGTGGTGTGAAAATTTCCTCACCTTCAGGGTTAGCTCATAAGATAAAATAGTAAACCTGAGGTAGGATCATGAGCTCCAAGGGTAGGGACATTCTTGTACTGGGATTTCAGAGCTTTGCAAATTTTGCCTAGCTTCCTTTTTCTAGACTTTTTTTCTTTCCTGGTTCCCCAATTGATATTGTCAGCTAGCCACATTTCTACAGAGAGGAGCTGAGTATAACACACTCTTTCTGCCTCTGTCTTTCTCTATCTGTCTGTCTCTTTGTGTGTGTGTGTGTGTGTGTACCTTCTGTGTAGCTGAGAGATCAACCTCAGGTAATATTCCTCAGGTATCATTTCTCAGGTGTGACCCTGGTTATTTATGAGACAGGGTATCTCACTGGCTAGAGCTCACCAAGCAGGCTGGGCCAGCTGGTCATGAGCCCAGGGATGTCTGTCTCCATCTCCCCAGCACTGCAGTTACAAGTGCATGTCACCATTTTCTTCTTTTTTTTTTTTTTAGTAAATTTTATTAAATTATAAAAGTTTCCATTTCCGCCCCCCCTCCCAACACCCTCCCACTCCCCCCACTCCCCTCCTCCTTCCCCTCTGTCCCCCAGGGCAGTCAGGGTTTCCTGCCCTGTGGGAAGCTCCAGCTCCCTCCCCCTCCCTCCAGGTCCAGGAAGGCGAGCGTCCAAACAGACTGGATCCCCAAAATCCAGCATATGCAGAGGAAACAGGTCCCAGTGTCATAGTCAATGGCTTTTCAGAAAGACCCCGGGCCAGCCACAGTCAGAGAATCCGGCCAAATTCCGAGAATCTGGCTAGATCACATCATTTTCTTTTTAAACAGGAATTCTGAATCAAAGTCACCGAGTCATCTGAGAGAACATTCTCTCATCTGTACCTTTTTTTTTAATAAAAAGAAATCTGTAATGTGTCAATGAAACCCAAGACAAGTCTCACTCAGTACCTGTGGCTCCTCCCAACACTTATCACCTCACTCCCTACCCTAAACTTCTCCCTCCCAGGAACAGGGCTTTGATTCCCTTCCCCCAGCTTCTGATCCTATATAAACTCAGCCATTTTGATCGCCTGGTCTCTATCTCTCTTGGTCTCTTGGCCACTAGCTGTCTCCACTCCTGGATTTCCCCTCCCCTCACCCCCAACTCCATGACCTGATTCAGTCCGGACCCTTCCAGACGTTTGTGGCTGTTCTCTTCCTGTAGGTAGAGTTTTTCTGTGTCTCAGCAAATGAACATTCAGAAACTTATTATTATGTATAAATGCTCAGGTGATAGTTCAAGCTGGTAACTAGCTAATTCTTACATTTTAAATTAGCCTGTAATTATTATCTACCCTTTGCCACATGGCTGTACCTTCTTTACACACAGCACATTCATCTTGTTTCCCTCTCTGTCTCCCTGATTTTGAGACTCCACCCTTCTTCCTCCCACCATCCTCTGTCTGGCTGTCCTGCCTATACCTCCTGCCTAGCTACCAGCCAGTAACTCCTTTATTAAACCCATCAGAAGGTGCCTTGGCAAATACACATCTTCACAGTGTACAAAAAAGATTATTTCAGAACATCTCCCTCACATTTACAATAAACCTCCGCCTCAACCTCACCTAGGAGCAGCTGTGTCCTGACTTATTCATTCAAAATCATTATGAACCAGGGCTTAATGAGATCACTGGGGTTGAGTGGCAGTGTTCTTCTTCTTACGTATGCCCAGACTCCTCTGCCCCCAAGTATGGAATTTGTGGGATGATTTGCAGTGAAGATTGAATGACTGTGGGTCTCTATCCTTTTTGGAAGGAAAGAAACAGAAACGATCATGAATGCATCTGTAGTCCAAATACTGTCCATTTAAGTACATATACTCAATACTGACTACTTAAGATGTCATGGAATCCCTGTGGAATCTACATTGCTGGTTTCCTTTTTCCTTTTCTTTCCAGATACGTCTGATTCTGAGAGCTTGAGCACCAGGAAAAGACAAAGAAGGACAAGTAAGAACAATTTAAAATTCTAGATGTAGCAAATACTTCTCTCTGTAACTAAAACCTAGACATCCTTTCAAGTAAAAGAGAGTTAGCCTGGGATGGTAACTCACTCACATGATGCTTTTGGTTCAGGTGAGTTGGAACCATTGGCTATGGCACACAGGTCTCAAAAGCAGTCAACAGTACAAGATTACTTTTCACCCAAGTAAAGAGGATGAAGTTGATCCTGGGTGGAGAGGTCACTTCATTTCACATGCTCATCTAGGGCCCTGAGATCTTAAAGACTGGCTTTGTCACCCACCATGCCCAAGACTCCATAGCAAACAGAAATGGAAGCAGATGGTGCACAAATAACCTCAGAAAGGGCACGAGGTCTAAGAAATGATCACAGAAGCGAATGGCCACCAGGGCAAAGTTGGCCCCAGCCCCAGCGTTGGGGACAGTTTCTGGAGCAAGTTTGACCAACAGCTCAGATAAAGGCAAGGTTGGCCTGCTGACAGCATTGTCTCTATGCCTCCCAAATAAACCACAGGTCTGTCCTACCTTCTCACACGGGCTGCAGGATTACCCAACCCTACCTGTCCTCTCCCTCACAGGCTGGCAGGACTGTCCCTCCCCAGTTATCCTTCTATTTGGCAGGATTGAGCCTTCCTACATACTCATACAAGTAGTCGTGTGTGTGTGTGTGTGTGTGTGTGTGTGTGTTCCTGTATTCCTGTATAAATGTGTAGATGCCAGGAGGTGATGTTAAATATCATCGTCTATCTCTCTATCTCATTTTGAGACAAGGGTATCACATTGAACCTGGAACTCACTGATACAGTGAGGGTGGCTGATGAGTGGGCTTCAGGGACCTTGCTGTCTCTATCTCCTCAGCTCTGGGATCATAGACGCTCACTGCTGCACCCAGGTTATTACACAGTACTGGGGATCTGAACTCAGGTCCTTAGGCTTAGTGAGAAACACTTTACTGACTGAGACAGACAGACAGACAGACACACACACACACACACACACACACACCATACTCACAGACACACAAAGCTAAGGAGAAAGTTCAGCTGATAAAATGCCTGCATGTTTCTGAATTTGATCCCTAAAACCTTGTTTGTTAAATGAAAAAGTGTGCTAAAGTGTGCTATAGACTTGTAATCCCAGCTCAGAGGAGATGGAAACAGGAGAATCCCTGGGGTTCTAGGTCCCAGACAGTTTGCCTACATGGCAAGTCCAAGACAAAGGAACGATTCTGTTTCAAAAGGAGTGTGACTGCAAAAATGACACCAAGGTTGTCCCCTGGCCTCAACATGCAATCGCATGTATATCCCCTGCACACACGCACCTGCACATATGGACGTGCACTCACACAGGACCTTATTATGTATATGATATAAATATAGTATGCACATATGTGTGTGTGTGTGTGTGTGTGTGTGTGTGTGGAGAGAGAGAGAGAGAGAGAGAGAGAGAGAGAGAGAGAGAGAGAGAATATGACTAACCATCACAGTGAACAGTACAACTGACCACCATAACCATGGTGGTCACTGTGGTTGTCATTATGGTGCTCAGATGTATTGGTCAGTCATAGTGGTCACTCTGAAGGTCACTGACATAATGTAGTGCTCTCTGTCAGTCATAGACGTCACTGTGGTTGTCATTAGGGTGCTAAGGTATATTGTTCACTGTATTATTCAGTCATAGTGGTCACTATGGTGACCGTTGATATGGTCAGCTAGGTGCTCACTGTGAGGGTCACTAATAATGGTCTCTGTTGGTCAGCTGCAGTGTTCACTGAAATGGCTGGACATAATCATCACTGTCATAGTCACTGATGTGGTCAGTTGTGGTTTTCACTGTAATTATCAGCCACAGTGGTCACGGTGATGGGCACTTGTAGTTTTCACTGAGGCTCAGCCATAGTGGTTACTATGGTGGTCAGTTGTTGCCGTCACTGTGGTGTGCAGAAGTAGTCATCACTGTGAGTGGTGAGTTCAGCCATAGTTGTCAATCTGTGAATGAATGAATGGAGTCAAAGGAGAGAAGACTGTCAAAAAGAAGGAAGAGAGACAACTATTTTTATACTGAATGTTCAGGAATGATTGACAGAGAAATAAAGGAACAAATCAGAGCATCACTGATAAAAAGCAGCACAGGAGAGGAGAGACTTGAGAAAGCCAGGCTGGTACCTATGCAGAGACAGAGCAGCAGGCAGGAAGTGTAGCAGAATAAGGTATGGCCTGAAAGACTGGACCTCTGTTGGCTGGGAGTGTAGACACTGGGAACCTGTATGTTTTTTCTCAGCTCATTTGATGCCAAACATCCTGCAGGACCATGTTTAGGACATTCCTTGGCCACACCTCCACACTTAGTCTATCTTTTTCATCATAGCTAGTGATTCCAAGCTTCATAAATGAATACAGGGAGAGAGTTAGAAGGGATGCAGCCTATCAGGTCTGATGGAGAAGTTAGCTATGGTGCCTTGATCTTTGTTTTCCTGTGATGTGGTAGTGAGAGTTGGAGGCTTTCCCTCTATTTTCTTACATCTCCCCTAAACATGTACGCACAAAATTCTCACAGAGATACCTGCACAGACTCTGTCTTTAACTTTGAGGAAGCTGAAAGAAGATCCAGCTGAGCTCCTTGATGGAGTCAGTGTCTACTTGGTGGGTGATGTAAGGAGAAAGAATAGGAAGGGTGTGCCTCTCGGTTACACTGGACACACGGAGATAAAGTCTGAGACTGACAGATTCTGTGTACAGCACAGACTTAGCACAGGGAACTAAGTGGCAGCGATGATTGTGTGTTCAGTGTCAGAAGAGCTGGCATTTTACCATGACAGTGCACTGTGAGGAGAAACAACATACATGATGGAGGCTGAGATAAAGACAAAGACTGACATAAAGACAGCCCCTTAATGAAAGCCACACATACACACAGGTAGGGGGTATAGGAGAAAGAGAGAGAGAGAGAGAGAAATGATGATGATGATGATGATGATGACGATGATGATGATGATGATGATGATGTGGGATTACCCTCAGTATGCTGTGAATACCATTGGTTAATAAAGAAACTTTTTTGGGCCAATGGCTTAACAGAATATAGCCAGACTAGAAAAGATATACATACATATATATATATATATATATATATATATATATATATATATAGAGAGAGAGAGAGAGAGAGAGAGAGAGAGAGAGAGAGAGAGAAGGTGGAGTCAGAGAGGTACCATGTAGCCATCAAAGAAGAAAGACATAGAACCTTGCCGGTAGGCAATAACCTCATGGTGATCCACAGACTAATAGAGCTGGGTTAATTAACATAAGAGCTAACTAGAAATGTGCTTAAGTGATTGGCCAAGAAATGTTTTAATTAATACAGTTTCTGTGTGATTATTTTGGGTTTGGGCAGTCAGGAATGAACAAGCAGGTGAGAGAGAGAGAGAGAGAGAGAGAGAGAGAGAGAGAGAGAGGGGAGAGAGAGAGAGAGAATAAAATAGAAAACAGAAAGGGAGATTGTTCTGGATAGTTTATTGGTTTTATGTCAATGTGACACAAGCTGAAGTCATCTGAGTAGAGGGAACCTCAGTTAAAAAACTGTTTCTATAAGGTTGGGCTATAGACAAACCTGTAGGGCATTTTCTTAGTGTTTGATGTGGGAGGGCCCACACCATTATGGATGGTGTCATTTCTGGGCTGATGTTCCAGGGGTCTATAGAAAACCAGGATAAGAAACTGAGGCCAGCAAGCCAGTAAACAGCACCCTCCACGGCATCTGTATCAGGAAAATGCCACAAGGTTTTTGGCTTGCTTGAGTTCCTTCCATGAATAGTGATCTGGAAGTATAAGCCACATAAACCCTTCCCTTCTCAAGCTCATTTTGGTCATGGTGTTTTAGCACAGCAATAGTAGCCATAACTAGGACAAGTTGGTACCAAGAGTAGGGTACTGCTGTGAAAGGCCTGACCATGCTTTGGGCAAGACTGTGGAAGGTCTTTGGAACTTCGGGTTAGAAGTGTCATTGAGTTAAGAGTTTTGAGTGTTAAGAGTTCTGTGAGATGTTCTGTGGGATCTTTGAAGATAAGAACATTGAGAGCAGTGCAAATGATGGAGGCCTGCCTTCTGAAGTTTCAGAGGGAAATGAAAACTTTACTGGGCTATTTGTGTAAAGACTCTGCAATATCTGGATAGTTGTAGCTGAAGATTCAACTGTGATTGTTGTAAGGAGACCACTTGTTCATTCCAGCTGCCCAGCTAATTTAGCCCCAAAATGATCACACAGAAACTGTATAATTAAATCACTGCTTGGGCCATTAGCTCTAGCTTCTTATTGACTAACTCCTACATCTTTATTTAACCCATTTCTATCCATCTGCATATCACCACAAAGTCATGGCCTACCAGAAAAGTTTCAGCAAGTCTACCTCCAGTCACGGATCCATGGCATCCCCCGACTCTGCTTTCTTCCTCCCAGAATTCAGTTCTGTCTTCTCCTCTACCTAAGTTATGCCCTATCAGGTCAAAGCAGTTTCTTTATTCATAACCAATACAAACAACACATAGAGGGGACTCCCACATCACCTTGCCTTTTTCTGTTTAAATAAAAAGCAAGGTTTTAACTTTAACATAGTAAAATTGCATGTAACAGGTATCAATCAAGAATTGCAGTTATAATGTTTATATCTACTTTACCTTTTATCATAACTAAGGAAAACTATAACTATAACTATAAATTCTTCAACTCCATCAAAGACTCCAGAAGGATATAATCTTAAATTCTTAAACATTTTAAATGCCATATTCTGAAAGTCTCTGAAAGATTTGAAGAATACCTATCTCATTGAAATATATCTCTATACATCTAGAAAATCTAACTAACATGACTACAAGCTTGACTATTATAGATGACTATCTATTAACATCTATCTCTTATTATACATTTTTTAAATGAACTACACAAACACAATCCCTTAATCGAGGGCAGAAATATACATATACAGTATAACA